ACAGCCTCACTCTCACACACATGCTTACACTCATTAATTCTCACAAACATATGTGCTCACGTTCATTCACACACATTCCCGACACCTGTCCCAAAGTCCCCACACCACCCCATGTCTGCCTTTTGTCTCCCCACTGACCCCCTAGAGCTGTAAGTCACAGCACCCCCACCCGACCTGCTCCCCACCATTCAGGCCCAAGACAATGGCCCTAATCCTTGAGCCCTCGGGCCAGCCTGGGCAGGGTTGGTGTTCCCTCCCCAACCCTAACCACCCTTCACCCTGCACTGTGCCCTAGAACCCAAAGGCCATCTGTGAGCACCCGGGTCTGTGCAAACCCAGGCAGCCAGAGCCAGAGCAGGAGCTGGGGATGCTGGACCTGCTGCCAGACAAGCTGATCCTCCCCATGCTGCCTGGGGCTCTCCAGGCAAAGCCTGGGCCTCATACACAGGTGAGGAGGTCCCCACAGCCAGGTAGGTGGGGATCCAGAGGGCTAGGGCCACATCCCGGGCCCATGAGCACTTTGGCCCTGGGAGAGGAGAGCCAGGAAGGGGAGGAGAAGCTCTTGGAAGGGCCTAGGGCAGATCGGAGAGAAGGGGAGGAGGAGGCAGGGGCGACAGAGTCAGGAGGACTCTTCTCCCAGCACCCAGCCTGACTTCTGCCCTACCCTCTCCCCCAGGATCTCTCCGAGCAGCTGTTCCCCATCCCCCTGCCCTTCTGCTGGCTCTGTAGGACCCTGATCCAGCGCATCCAAATCATGATTCCCAAGGTGAGGCATCCAGGGCCACAGGAGCTTGGGAGGTCCCCCAGGTGCACCTTCCCCCCCACCAACTCACACACCTGTCAGGGCCCAGCTGGCTGCCAGAAGCTAGGAGGGGAGCCACTGGGCATTGCCACCACCCAAGACACCCTAAGACCCAGGCCTGGTAGGTGCCAGGCATAGTGTTCATTCAGCAAACACTAAGCCCTTGCCCTATGCCAGGGGCCAAAGTACAAACATGGACAAGAACTGGCCTTGTTCTCCAGCAGCTCACCAGCTGACGAAGGAGAACCCCCAGTTNGCCAGAAGCTAGGAGGGGAGCCACTGGGCATTGCCACCACCCAAGACACCCTAAGACCCAGTCCTGGTAGGTGCCAGGCATAGTGTTCATTCAGCAAACACTAAGCCCTTGCCCTATGCCAGGGGCCAAAGTACAAACTTGGACAAGAACTGGCCTTGTTCTCCAGCAGCTCACCAGCTGACGAAGGAGAACCCCCAGTTATCTCTGCAGAAAAGTTGCTTAATTTTTCAAAAAAAGAATTTCCACGGAGGGACTCCCCATCCCTGCCCAAGTCCAACTTGGAGTCTCCCAGACCTGTAGTGGCCATTGCCCAGTGGTCCTCCCAGCCCAGGCTGCCCTGTGAAAGACTAAGAAAGGCCCTGCCCCATCAAGCCTTCCCAGACGGGGTCCACGTCCTTCTGGTCGCTGAGGGCCCATGGCGGCGTGGACGAGGGCCCTGCTCTCCCCGACTGACGGTGGCAGAGTTTTCAGGGAGTGTCCTGTGCAGAGCTGAGGACTCAAATGGATGAGGCGATGCACAGTGGTGAGGTAGGCTGGGGTCAGGGAGAACCTCCGAGGAGGTGACCATCACACTGAGTCCTAAAGGCCAACAAGACCTGATGGGCAGAGGCTTCGGTCGAGAGCGAGCTTGGCAAGCCTGAGTAACAGAGAGCCTGTGCGGCAGGCCAGCAGGAGTGTGGTCGGCGGTGAAGAGACCAGAGGGCCATGGAGACATTTCTAAGCCAGGTTAAGGAGCTCTAGGCTTTATTCTGCATGCCCTTTACAGCTACAGCAGAGTTTCAAGCAGGGAAGATCACCCTCCTGCTGTTTTAACAAAGGATGTGGGGGACAAGAAGCAAAGCAAGGAGATTAATTAGGAGATTACAGCAGAGCAAAAATCACAACAGAGACAACGGGGCAGGGGATGGAGCTAAGACGGAGGAGTGGGGACATGTCAGGGAGGTGGGCTCAGGTGGTGACGGATAGGCTTGGGGGGGTGAGGACAGGAGAGGACCTCGGCTTGGGCCACAGGCTCTCCAGTAACCCCCTCCAGCTGAGATGATGAAACTTAAGAAGAAACAGGTTTGAGCAGAAGAGCAGAGC